TCTGAGGCATGTATATATGTAATAACTGACCTAGCATGTGTAATTCATGAACTAAAAGAGCTACATAGCTAGGGTTCTGAATTTATGAAAGAATCTACACAAAACGATACTAAAATCATGACAATCTGATTTGGATCATTCTAAGAGCTAAAACCCAACAATTTCTAATATTCAAGAAACCCTAGGTCTAGATGATATTAAGGGCATCAAGATTCTGACTGAATATAGGGACCTAATGGATGAAAGGAACCTACTAGTAAATCCCACATACCTAGTGACAAATTTTACCGAGAAATGTTTCGATTTCGGGGTTGGAACTGATGAAAACTCGCTGCATTTTTTAACTAGGGCTGCTCGACTTTCTCCTCTATTTTGCTCTAAGTTTCGCTTGATTATGGTGAATAATTGATTACGTTAGATTCTAATTAGTTTACTAGGCTAAAACTGACCAAAATCACGCAGTTTAGGGATTAAGCGACGTATTTTACGGGTCCAACGCATAGGGAAAAGACCAAAAGACCCCTGACTTAAAAGATGTCGGGACCAACCGACGGTCCGTGGACTGACCCACGGTCTGTGCTGGTCAACCATCGACGGGGTTTTGGGACTAGAATTTGGGGCCTCGATCCACGGACCAGGACCATAGTCCGCGGCCTGACATACGGTCTGTGGGTCCGACCGTGGGTCATGCCTTAGAAACTTTTGTCTGAGGGTCTGACCTACGGCCTTGGACCACAGACTGTGGTCTGACCTACGGTCCGTAGGACCTGGCGTAGGTCTGGACTTAGAATAATTTTCTAGGCCTTTTCTGGGAGGGGTTGCAGGTGGTGAACCACGGACCGTGGGTCACCCTACGATCCGTTGGTTGGTCTGTTTTCGAATACGTGGTGTTACAAAAGATAAATAGTGATACTGGTCATTGAAGCATGGCACATCAACGTATTTATTTCCAGGTTTATATATATATATATATATATATATATATATATATATACTAAAAATAGTTTTTTAACAATACTTGTCAAGTTTGGAAATCAAGAGATAATTTATCTTTTAGTGTCTATTTTAACTTGGTATTAAATACTATTCAATATCTAATACATTTTTCAAAGCATTAAATTTAATATATTCAAAGGTTAATATAGTAATATCACCACCATTGTTTATTATTTTTTAAGGTATGTGTAAAGTTAATAGTAGACAACTATTGTAGTATAGAGGGAGTATATCTGGGGGCCTAAAGCCAAATTTCATTAAGAGACCTATACTTTTAGTTGACATATATAAATTGAATAATTATAATATACTCATTATAATCCTACAAGTGAGGTATGAAAGGTAGGATATATGTGGACATCATGAAGTAAGAATGTAAACAAAATAAATTTTCAACGAAAAATATATATATAAAGTTAGAATAATTAAACTCAACTCAAAAATTTGAAAATTTTATATAATGATATTGAAATAGTATTGCGCTGAATTTGATATGTTGATATAATGATATTAAAATCTACTTGTTTTTCAAGAAAACATTTTCTAGGAAAACATTTTTTCATGAAAAACATTTTCCTTCATACCAAACACACCCTTAGTGCTTAAAATTTGAAGAAGATACCAAAAAACAAACTTGATGTTTTTATAAACACGCAACAATATATTTTGCATAATGTAGAAGGTTTGACTGTTTGACAGATTTTAAATATTCAATATTGAGAGGATAAAAATAGTGAAAGGAGAATAAAAAAAAGTAAATATAAGAAATATAATGTTGATTCATGATAGTCATCGGTATATAAATAAGGCAACAAAGTAGATTGTCACATAAGAAAGGATGCTACAATAAACAAAATATCATTCATTTTTTTATTATTACAACGATCCCTATATTAAATAAGGTAAAAAAACCTATTACATTTTCTATTCATAATTATTTTTTTTCAAATTTATCGATATATGAGATTTTTTAACATTACATATACATATATATACATCTTTGAAAGCAATTGCTTTAGTAGCCGTGTGGTCGAAATTGTTGGGGAAATAAAAGAAATTTCACAATAATAATATAATACTATTATTTAATAAAATAATAGTCTTGAAAATAGATAAATAGTACTACGATAATATATAAATATTAATGCATAAAATTTATACTTGCGTCGTGCTGGACACTATCCTAAGAAACTATTTTAATGGTGTGAAATGTTTCCCCAAGATTAAACAAGCCTTCTCTATCTTAAATAGAGGATACATGAATCAGCAAATTAATTAACATCAGCAAGTTATTAGTGGGAAAATAAAATAAACATTAATTAATTAAAATAAACCCAATTAGAAAAAGAGGAAACGAGAGAGTGAGGGCAATACCAGAATGTATTTCTCTACACATTTTTCTAATGAAGGAGTAAGAGAATTTATAGAGGAAGGGAGAAATGGCACTTGTCCAAACTATTACATGCAAAATGCCACCATGAGACAAGTGTCAAGAAGAGGACAAGTGGCAAAATAATGGCATATACTACACTGTCAACTTTACCATTTTTCCAACAAATATTTCTTAATTAATTTTGGTTAATCTTTTGAAATAAAAACATTTTGCTAACAGAAATGACCGTATTCAAAAGTTGAGGAATGTTTTCGTAACTTAAAAAAACCATAGGGAGGTTTTGTATAATTATCCTATGTACAAATTTATATGTGAACAACCTTCACCCACCTATTTTCTTTCATTCATTCCTCACACATTGTAGTACAAATATAAATTTCAAAATTCCCCTCTACTCTCTCAAATACAGAGAAATGGAGACCAAAGCAGAGCTTGTTTTCATTCCATCGCCGGGATTGGGTCACGTCGCCTCCGCTGTCGAATTCGCCAAACTCGTTCTTGCAACAAATGAACGACTATGCATTTCTCTTCTCATCATGAAACATCCTGCCGATTTTGGTGTTCAATCTTATCTCCAATCACTCCCTTCTCTGTCCCGCTTGCGCTTTATTGATGTTTCAATAGACCCTAAACTAGTTGTTGAACTTTTGTCTAACAAGGACAAATTCTTATACGATTTCATTGATGGTCATAAACAGAAGGTAAGTGAATTTGTTACTAACAACATTACTAGTAATAATTCCAGTTCTTCCCAATTTGGCTCTACTCGGCTTGCTGGCTTTGTTCTTGACATGTTCTGCATTTCCATGATTGATGTAGCAAATGAATTTTGTGTTCCTAGTTACATTTTCTTTACTTCTGCTGCTGCTTTTCTTGCATTGTCCTTTCATTTTGAAGCTCTGAGGAGTACCTCCAAGTTTGATTATTCTCAGTCTGATGAGGAATTGTCGATTCTCGGATTTAAAAATCCGTATCCTGCTAAAGTTTTACCTAAGCCAGCTAAAACAATTACACCAAGCTCGAGTTTGTACTACGATGGAATTCGTCGTTTCAGAGAGACGAAAGGTATTGTTATCAATACCTTTGCGGAGCTTGAACCTTTTGCTCTTCAGTCATTGTCTGATGCTAAAATTGCTCCTCCGGTTTATCCGATTCATGCTGTATTCAATTCAGATGATAATGACAAAAAACAGGAAACAGAAAGTATTGTGGAGTGGTTAGATGATCAACCAAACTCATCTGTAGTGTTCTTGTGCTTTGGAACCATGGGAAGTTTTGAACCTGAGCAGGTAAAGGAGATAGCAATTGCGTTAGAGCATAGTGGGCACCGGTTCTTGTGGTCTTTACGAAGGCCTCCACCAAAGGGGAAAATAGAGATGCCAAGCAATTATGACAATTCGGAGGAAGTGCTGCCTGAAGGGTTCTTGGAGAGGACAAAAGGAATTGGGAAAGTGGTAGGATGGGCGCCACAAGTGACTGTACTTTCACATCCTGCGGTGGGGGTATTCGTGTCACATTGTGGATGGAATTCGACAATGGAGAGTGTGTGTTGTGGGGTGCCTATTGCTGCTTGGCCCTTGTATGCTGAACAACATATGAATGCGTTTTTGTTGGTTAAGGAATTGGGATTGGCAGTGGAGATTCGGATGGACTATGTCAAGGACTTCGAGGGGAAAAATCCAGTTGATATAGTTAGTGCTGAGGAAATTGAAGGCGCCATACAGAAGCTTATGGCGAATGGTGAAGAGAATGAAGTGAGGAAAAGAGTGAAGGAAATGCGAGAGAAGAGCAGAAAAGCCATGGAAGAAGGTGGATCATCTTATACCTCTTTACGACTTCTGATCGAGGATTTCATCAGCAACATTTCCTGAAGATTTTCCGCAAAAAGATCTTCACCAATGACAGGTTTTTCACTGGATACTCAGAACAAAACTTTTAAATGCATTATGATCAAGGGCACAAAAGTTTTCTATGTTGATGTTTGTTGTTGTTGCATATTTATAGTGTGCTTAATGAGTTAAAGTTAGTATTGGCAGTTCATGCCTTACAATCTGTGATGGCCAGTCAAAAGATATTTTCGTTGATCATAATTTTTCAAATACTTTGTAAATATTTGAATTGTTAACTATTGTGGCTTACAATATTTTCTAAATGTATAAAAATTTTATTTCAAAAATATTAGAAATTCTATGTCTAAATCACACACCAAACATTAATTAGTTTGACCCTCGTACTCCGAATCAAGCCAGATAAAATAAAATAGAGAGAGTATATGGTAACATGAATTCACAAACCTTGATGTATGAAGTTTTTCGTGTGTCATGGTCCATTGTGAGGCATGGAACTTGAGTTCCACATCAATATTGCAATGTACTGATGTGGGGTTTATATAGTCTTAGGCTATTTCGCCTCTCATCTCAATAGCAAGCTTTTGGGTGTGGTTCTCATTATTATTTAAGTATAAATGATAGTAATAGAATCACCCACCAACCTCACAAGGATGGTGAGTGTGGAGCCATCAGGACGATATCGACTATTGTAAGATCTATGGAACTTAAGTGTGTGTATGCCTTAACCCAGTTTGCTTAAACGCTTGCCTCACGTCCACGCGTTTTAATACAGTATACTTCCACTAAAAATTTCACACGAAAATTACATTACTAAAATGAGAATGCAGTGGTCTGAGTCTCGAAGACCCAATCAAATTGTAGAAGAAAATATATTGTTTTCCAGTAGTCATGTCACGGTTTAAGATTGTTTCTCAATTAGTGATATCCATCACCTGTTCGATAAAATATCCAACAGAGTTGTAGGAAGATCCACCTTCTTTGAGCGTCAATCTGCTCTTCTCCTTCATGTCTTTCACTTTCAACCTTATTTCATTTTCAGGCTCCATCAGCTGCTTTATTGCTTTCTCTATCTCCTCTACCTTTACTATAACGTTCGATTCAGTCCCTCTGAGATCCTTCCTATAATCCATCTTAATCTCCACTGCTATCTCTAAATCCTTCACCAATTGAAATGCATTGGCTTGCTGCTCCGAATATATTGGCCAAGTTGCCAGTGGTACTCCGAACCAAATGCTCTCTAAAGTCGAATTCCACCCACAGTGTGACACAAAGCCTCCTACAGCATCATGACTCAAGATAGCCACCTGGGGTGCCCATCCTATCACCTTCCCAATCGCTTCCGTTCTTTGCAAGAACCCCTCAGGCAAAACATCTTCTGGATTATCATAAGCAGCTGGAAAAAATGTATCTTTAGCCAAAGGCTTCTTTAGGGACCACAAGAATCGACATCCGCTCTTCTCCAAAGCATATGCAATTTCCTTTATTTGCTCCTCGTTGAAACTTCCTAAGCTTCCAAAGCAGAGGTACACTACTGATGAATCGGGTTGATCATCTAACCAGTTGATTATAGTTTGATGTTGAGAAGAATCTTGATTGTTACCGTGATCGTTATCAAGGTTTAGCAAGGGTCCGACTGGGTATACAAGTGGGATTTTCTCATCGATGGAGAGGGATTTGACAGCATGAGATTCGAATTCGGAGAAAGTGTTGACTAGAATAGCTTTAGCTTCTCGAAGCCTTTTAGAAAGATCAAGGTACATTGTGGAACCACCATCCTTGTCAAAGGCTATAGATGGCAAACATTTAGCTGGAAATGGGTTTCCATACGTTGTCACCGAAAGCTCTGCTTCTGGATCATCCTTGTATTCTGTCACATCTTGGTTAAAATCATCCCTGAGACTCTGCAAATGAAGCTGAAGACCAAGCATGGCAGCACCAGACGTGTAGAAAACATATGTCGGGAGTCCAAATTCATTGGCCACATCTATCATTGCTGTACACATCATGTCAATAACAAGGCCCGCAAGACGATTTGATCCTGAATTCAAGATTTCAATCACAGAATTTCTGACTTGAGGCTTATGACTGGATAAAAATGTGATGAAAGTTGTGTTTGTGATTGACTGTAAGCTGGACTCATCTTGAGGGAGTTCAATGAACTTCATTTGAGAGTTGTAGTTTGGGTTTGTCGAAACTGATTCAATATATGAGCTGAGTTTGTTGTCAGAAGGCAGCTTGATTACGAGGACTGTAATGACGAGATGTTCATCTCTAGCTATTAGGACCTTTGCCATCTCAAGTGTGGGTACTAGGTGGCCCATACCAGGAACAGGAATGAAAACCAACTCTGTTTTCTTGTTTAGTGGATCCATTTTTTGTTGCTTGAAGAGGATATTTGTTAAAGCTCATAACTGGAAGCTTGATTTGTACTCATTTTATAAGATGCTGATTTAAAAAACTTGTTAGTGTTATGTGAGTGAAGACCAATTGACTTGGGGAGCAAGAGTTAATGGTAAATGATGTCATGTCTTGGCTGCCAAGTCCCAACTTACAATTAATTACTATAGACTAGCAGGGTGGCTTTTGGGTGAAGCCTTTAGCCCCTCTTTTTTTTTTTGGTCCCACATTCCATCAATAACCTATATAGTACTATTTACGTTTATTTTTAATTGTCATAGTTTTCTTTTTTTATAATTAAACTATAAAAACTTTGATTAATATTTTACGATGTATTTTTTCATTATATAGATATGCAAAAAATTGCAATTTATAGTACTTTTCATATAGTTTTTGAATATCTAAATTTTTTATTTAAAATATTGAATTAATGTAATGTAATTTAACTTTGAAAATTAGTCAAATTGACTTTTGAAAAACGGAATATGACAAATAAAAGTGAGCTGAAAGAGTATATAAATAGTTTTCAATTTGTTTGTTCTGGGGTTCCCACATTCCATCTCCCTTTATCTTCTTGGCAAACTAGATCTGTACTTTTGACTCCAAAATGGCTTCAGATCTTCCTCATATATATATATATTATATACTAGATATGAAAAGGTCCGTATTACATTTAACAATCTTAAATATATTAGAGGTTCCACTATATTATATGTATTTAATTAGTTTTTTGGAAAAAAAATTGTCATCAATATTTTCTAATAAAAACAATAGTAAAATGATAATAACAATCGCACTTTATAATAAAATATTAATCTTTTTATCAAATAATAACATCTAACTTATTTAAATTGTCTTAATTAACAATACAATATCATATGGTCCAATGGTTATTTTAACAGAATGTCAAACATACACATTCGAATTAAAAAGTCATTTTAATGGTATTTTTTTAACTCATATAATGATAATAATTCAACAAACAATTTGAGTAAATTAATCTTATTTACTCATTTGTGTTCTACTTTTTTTAAATCACTTTTCACATTTAAAGTAGTATAACCATGAAAAAGAAAATTAAATTATATCTTATTTTTTAAGATAATAAATATTATAATTAATTAATTAATTATTTTTTATAAATATGAAAAACAAATGAACACAAAGAAATATATAATTTTTTTTATTTCACTTTATTTATTTGAAAATCAGTGTCGAATTATAAAAATTACAAATATAACTTGAAGTTGTATTTAAATTTTGAAAAACATTCAAAACTTTATTAATACTTTAACTATATTTTTTTTTTCAAATTGTATCCTAAATTAATTTATTTTTATAAAAATGACCACATTTGAATTATATTTCATATTTTATTTTATTTTAAAAAAAACACGTTCAAATAATCAAATATTATTTGCAAAATCAATAACTTAACACAAATTCAACTTAATTTTTTAAAAAATAAATTAGATTTTTTTTTTGTAATAGTATGTAGTAGTTCTTATTTGAGATCTAATCTATGACATTATATGACTGTTTATTTTGAGATATTACTCTTTTAGTGCAATTTGATTGTATGTCTCAAGCAAATTAGTCAAATAATTTTTAGAAAAGAGGAATATAACCATATTTAGAAAGACATAATATATAAATATATCTTTTAACTTGACCTCGCCTAACATCTATGACATTTAACTTCGGGTGTGCACAAGTTAGCACTTAAACTTATATAAAGTTGAGCTAGTAGACATACATGTCCTACGAAGCATATATAATTCACGTAGGACAGCACATAAAATGTCGCATAGGACATGAATTATATCGCCGTGTACGACATCAAGTAGGACACATGTGTCTACTTGTTCAATTCTATACAAGTTTATGTGTCTACTATGCACATACAAACTTGCAGGACATTGATATCAAATGAAACCAAGTTAAATGACATATTTATGTATGTATTATGCCATTTTAAAAATATATTTAAATTCTAAATATTTTTTGTATAAAATTTGACCAAACACGACTTCAACTATAATTTTTTTTAATAAAAAAAAAATCATGACCAAACAACATTCAGAAAGGAAATGATTAAAAGGCCTGAAATTTGAATTTTGGGTATAAAAAATGGGTCTTATTAAAAGCAATAAGTACATTAAACAATAAATTTTGCCGAATTTAAAATAATCAAATTCTAATATATATATATATATATATATATATATATACAAAATCAAATGGGAAATTTATTTGTTTATTTTAAAAAAAAATGTATGATCTATAGATTTTTGAAGTGAATCAATAAATGGGGTTCATGTTTTAACTTTGCACTCCTGCCAATGTGTTGGTACACATGTGGCAATTAGAATCCACAACTTAATAAAAAATACATTGGGAATTATATAAATTTTGATTGATTTTTCTGGAAAGTTGAATACTCTCAATGCACAATATACGCTTAAATTAAGCTTGAAATTTTATTAAGTTGACAAAATTGCCAAAAGTCACCGGGGCTTCACATTTCTATATACTTTCTCTGTCTCAATTTATGTGACACATTTCGAATTTCGAGATTCAAATAAGTCTATCTTTGATCGTAAATTTTTCTTATATCTTTTAAATATTTGAATTATCAATTATTGAGACTTATAGTATTTTTTATGTAGTTAACAAATATATAAATTTCATTTTTAAAAAATTGAAAATTTCATGAGTAAATTTTCGATCAAACTTAAACTGTTTGACTCTCGAAAAGCGAAATGTATCACATAAATTGGGACATAGAAATAGAAATATGCCTTTGTAACTAGCTCGGATATGCCTACACACATCCTGTCATAGCAAAGCCATCGTTCTCTTCAAAGCCAAAAACATCACACACTATATGTGAAGGAAATAAAAAGCAGGAATGAGTGAAATCAAGAATGCAGAGTTGGTCATCATACCATCTCCTGGAATGGGTCATTTGGTACCCGCAGTGGAGATGGCAAAACTCCTTATAGTTAGAGAGGAACACCTCTCCATCACTGTCCTTTTCATGAACATGAACCTCGACTCGAAGCTCATGCTATGATATCTCTCTCTCTGGATGAGAAAATCCCAACCGTTTATCCAATAGGACCATTGCTGAACCTCAACAGTGGCATTAGTGATAAGGAAGAATCGTCTCACGACGAAATTATCAAATGGTTAGATAGGCAAAATTCATCCTCTGTAGTGTTCCTCTGCTTTGGAAGCTCGGGAAGTTTCAACAAGGATCAAGTGATGGAAATTGCGCAGGCTCTAAAGGACAGCGAGTTCCTGTTCTTGTGGTCTCTAAGGAAGTCGCCACCAAAAGACTCATGGTATCCAAGCGAGTACGAGAACCTGGAAGATGTATTGCCGGAGGGGTTCTTGCAAAAAACAAAAGGGATTGGAATGGTGATAGGATGGGCACCCCAAGCAGAAATTTTGTCTCATCATGCCGTGGGTGGATTTGTGTCGCATTGTGGTTGGAATTCAATTTTGGAGAGTATTTGGTTCGGTGTGCCAATGGCAACATGCCCAATGGTAAAGGATTTCAATTGGTAAAGGATTTGTGTATGGCAGTGGATATTAAGATAAAGGGGAGCAACACAGATGTTATAAAAGCGGAGGAGATAGAGAAAGCAATAAGGCATTTGATGGATCCTGAAAATGGAATAAGGTTGAAAGTGAAAGACATGAAGGAGAACAGCATATTGGCGCTAAAGGAAGGTGGTTCTTCCTACAACTCTGTTGGGAGTTTTATCGAGCAGGTTACGGCCAATAACTGAATAATGAGCACTTCACTTTCCCTTTCCACTTTGCTTCCTTTATTATGTTGTGTTGTATTGTACTGCTTTCATAAATATATTGTTTAAATAGATTATATCATTATCTCTGTTACATAAATGATAAATTTACAAGAAAAATAAGATATAGTGTAGAGCTACTATAAAAAGGTAGGATAATAAAACATGAAATATAATTATTAATAATAAATAAAGACAAAATAAAAAGAAAATATTAAGGTGAGATGCAATCACACCAAATCGGTCGTTACATAAAATGGTTTTTTTATCGTTATCTAATGATGAATTTAAACGATATGATACAATAGAATTTATAAAACAATCAAAACAAACATTATATTTAAACTAACAATACAACGGGTAACAACCATCCAAACAAGGTGTTCGAATTGCCTTTTTACTTGATTCTTTCGGTTCAACTTTAGCACAATATCTCATACAATAAAGGATAAAATTACCTATATACAGCCTCTCTTTTTTTCATAATTCCCTACCAGTTCTAAAAAATTTCAAAATTCCCTACCAGTTCTAAAAAATTTCAAAATTCCTTATTTTACTCCCAAACCCCCAAATGTTGGATACATAAATCCTAACTCCCAAAACCAACATTTATCCCTTCCTTATTTCACTTCACAAATCTCTCCTTATTTTAGTCACAAAATCTTGATACTTATTTTCTCATTTATGTTTGAAATTCAAAATCAATCTCTTTTAAGTAGGTTAAGGATATTTTTAGACAAAAAAGTTTAAAGGATATTTATGAGTTTTTTTACCTATTTTTTAAAAATACTCCAAAATTTATAATAAAATAAAATATGCACTAAAACGTAAATTAGAAAGAAAAAAAGTAGTAGTAATTGTTATTATTTGGTAATAATTAATATAATATTTGTAGAAGTTCTTGCCTTTTTTGTTGTATTTTCTTTTATTTTGTCTTTTTCCTTTCTTTTTTTTTTTGGTTTAGTAGTTGTTTTGTTTTTCTATTATTTCCAAATCATTGTTGGGTTTGGTATTTGTATTTGGTTTCTTTATTTTTGGTTAGTAAAACTCACCTCAGGTGTTTGGTTGAAAGAAAGAATATAATATTTGTAAATTTATCATAATTTGAGTTGGTTATGGACTCTAACAACTAATCATTCATTGAAACTGATTAGGATTCTTGTATTATTATTTAATCTTCTCATTGTCTCATAATAATATTAGTTTCAATTTCATCAAAAATTTATACAGTCTAATATTTTCCTCTTTTTTCTGGTGTTTTTCATAATCAAATTTCTTTAATGATTTGTGTTTGTTCATGTATCTAATTGATAATTTAATTCTTATTTATTGTGATACATTTTAGATACACTTTATTTCAGCTTACATACATTCTTCTTTCGCAACCTTAATGTATCAGATACATTATTATTAACTACAAAATGATACATTATGTAAGTTATACATATCTTTCAAGGCAAACAATATAATACTTATCAATTTAAATGAGATACATAATTAGTAATGTATCATGCACTAATTTTTTAGATATGATACGTAAATTCGAATTTATACTAAATGTATCAATTACATAGCAATTACCACACGGTAATGTATCGATCTCAAATCTAATATCTTATGGGCAACAATTACTTATTTAATGTATCTATTATAAATACAATACTTATCAATTTAAACGAGATACATAAATAGTAATATATCATGCACTAATTTTTTAGATATGATATGTAAATTCGAATTTATACTAAATGTATCAATTACATAGCAACTACCACACAGTAATGTATCGATCTCAAATCTAACATCTTATGGGTAACAATTATTTATTTAATGTATCTAATATAAATACAATACTTACCAATTTAAACAAGATACATAAATAGTAAAATGCTAAGTAGCAAAGATATTCATGATGTATCTTCTCAAATTTTTCGACAATTTTGAATCAAAATTGAAAGAATTTTCAATAAATTAGAAGAAGAATTTTGAATATCAAAATTTTCAACAATTTTGAATCAAGATTGAAAGGATTTTCGCTGAACTGGGAGAAGAATCTTGAATCTCAATTTTTTTGATAATCTTGAATCAAAATTGAAAGGATCTTCGATGAACTTGAAGATTCAAAAGGATATCGTTTGTCCAACAACAATTTAATCACTTTTTAATTGTCAAGTTGTGCTTTTCAAAAATTAATTTGAATAATTTTCAAAATTAAATTAGATTACATTAATTCGATATTTTAAACAAAAAATTAGATATTCGAAAACTATACGAAAAGTACTATAAATTCCAATTTTTGACATATCAATATGATGAAAAACTACATCGTAAAATGTAGGGGTGTACAAAACCGAATCAAGCCGCAAACCGAGTCAAACCGGAAAAAATACTAGTGATTTGGTTTGACTTGGGTTGGTATTGAAAAAAAACCCCACTATATTTGGGTTGGGTTGGTTTTAACTAAAAAAACCCAACCTGAGACCAAACTAATCCAACATTATATATATAATTTTAAATTTTTATTTTATACATAAAAATATTTACTTTGATATAATTTTTAAATATTTCATATACTTTTTATAGTTTTTATCTTTAGTATATTATTTCAAGTTTGAAACTTAGAATTCCAAATGGTTCAATAAAGAATATAGTACACAAATGTTGGTAATTATAATAAAACTTAAATCAAAATCAAATTAATACTAATGCAAAAAGAAAATCAATTCAACACTAAGAATGACAATAATATTGAATATTTGTTCTTTAGTTTTACATTGATTTAGACAATTAAAATACATGATCTAATTTTAATTTCCTTTTATATTTAGTCATGTAACTAATACTTATTAAACTTATTTTAGTATGATTTAGTACTTTTAAATTATGATTATTTTCATTATGACTTGTTATTTTGTAATATTTGTTTTACACGATTTCATTTTTTTTTTGTTGGATTAGTGTCATTAATCATATTATATTTTGTATTATTTTCTTAAAAAATACCTTAGATAGTTGTATTTTGGTAGGACTAAAGAAATATTTGAAGTAAAGTAAATTATATGTTTGTATGAATACTTTACCGAAAAAACTCAAAAATCCAAAAAACCCAAAAAAATCCGAAAAAACCCGAGGTTGAAAAACCCGAGTTTTATTGGTTTGGTTTGGTTTATAAATTCAAAAATCTGACACAAATGATTGGGTTTGATATTTGAAAAATCTAAACCAACCCGATCATGTACATCCCTAGTAAAATGTTAGTCAAAGTTATTATCGTTTGACTATAAAAAATGAAACTATAACAATTAAAAATGTACAGAGGTAGTAGTTGTGTCTCTTTCCTTTTATTAATAAACTAGTCTCTGGGTATGTGTGTTGCACGTTTATTCCAAACAATAATGTTATTCATTACATCTTCCACATAGTAAGCAAATTTTAAAAGTTCAAAAATTGATATCGTGCAATATAAAAAAAACTTATTATAAACAAATAAGAGATTCTTATCAAACAAATATAATGATTAATCATCAAACTTATCACATATAATTATAGTTATATTTTATCCGCGATGATGATACCATCAAATTTAAGAGAGGATAAGATGCAGATTTAGAAGGACATGAAAGAATTGTTAGGTGGAGTGAAATCCAATAGATTCGGTGGGAAAGAATTATCGGTAAATGATATTTTTTTCTTCAAAGTAAAAGTTGACTCTTCCATACATTATATTGGGAAAGGGATTAATTATCTTTGATCTACCCTTTGATGCATTTTTTTTATTTTCATATAACGCAAGTAAAGTTTTTCTAATCTACTCCCTCTGTTTCATATTAGATTGACATTTTTTATTTAACACAATAATTAAGAAATTATTAACAAATTGATGAACTTTACTATTTTGCATTTTACTAATTGAGTGATTTTATTAATACAAAATAGAGTCCTAAACGTAAAAAAAATTACAAGAGAGTGATTTTTAAACAATGGATTGTCATTAAGAAAGATATTTGTAGTCTGAGGACGGTGATTTAGTATATGATGGAATCTCTTTCTCCATTGGAAGTGTTATAACAAGAATTGTGATGGAATTATGCAGGATAGAAACCTAATTGTTTGAAGTTGACTTAAGTAAAATTTTGTATATGAATTCAAAGGTAAGAAACCTTTCAACTCAACTTGTGTTAGAAGATTTTATAAACTTAATTCATCTCCGAAACTCTTTTCACACTAAAGATTTGATCTTATCGCCTATGCATCCTTATGAATCATGTGGTACGGATCTATACACACGCTAACGCGTGAAACACTCCACCTGAAAAGTATGATCACAAGTCCGAAACTCAAAGGAATTGACGGTGAATAATTCAAGTCTTGCATAAAATTTTTGTGGTGTTATAATTACTTGGTCCGAGTAACAAAATCAAGTGGTTGTTCCATGTAGATTTCTTCCCGAAATATTTCTTAATGTTCAACTGATAAAGATGTAAATGGCAAACATAGTCATAGATAGCAAAAAACGGACTTATTTTAGCCACGAGAGAGAAAGTATCACTATAATTCAGTCCAAATACGATTGTGAGTATATCTTTCGGCAAAAGTGAATCTGAAACAGAGAGAAAATACGGTTAAATATTAAAATTTATCAAAAAAATAGAGCAACGAAAAAATGTACGATATTACACAAATCAAATATGAGAAAGTAGTCTCAGGATTAGAAAGATGCACAGTGCTACGTAAATCATATATGAAAAAATAGTCACCGGAAAGATGCACGATACTACGCAAATTATATATGAGACAGTAGTCACTAGAAAGATGCATGGTGCTACGCAAACCATATTTAAAAAAGCAGTCACTGGAAAGATACACGGTGCTACATAAACATAACTATTATATAGTTATACAAAACAGACCCAGAAAATCGCCTAAAATTGACACACGATAGGCTGATTGACTGAATTTTCTTCTCCTGAATATGAATATACTAGTTTACTCGATTAGGTCATTTTAATCCAAGTATACAAGTACAAATTTAACCATACGTTTTTATGTATAAACAGTTATTACGACTTTGATCTTGTTTTAATATACAAATTAGAAATTAGAAATAAATTGTACATGTAATAAAAATATGAAGGAGAATTCTTGTAGAAAATAAATTTATTTATGACAATCCAACAACCGGTCTCAATTCAAAAGACCAAAGCATACAAAAGAAAGCAGAATATCCAATGGAAACAAACAAACCAATAAGCAATGACAAAAAAATATAGTACTTCATAACGATTTACAATCACTTCTTGTATAGCAATCAATCAAGAGATTATGTTAAAAAAATACAAAGATTAAATTGATAACAATATATGTTAATCAATTAAGCCCATTTGGCTAACATAGACATAAGTCCAGCGCCAAGAAGAAGTGAAACATTAGCCCCTAATTGAAGCTTTCCATTGCCTTGCATTCTTGGATGCATAAAATCGGCAGCTAAAAAGTCAACGAGTGCCATATAAATCAAGATGCCAGCTGAAGCTGAATTAAATATTCCTTCCACGATAAGAGCCGTTGGACTATTCTCATCGTAAACATTTGTTATTGCTAGTCCAATTGCAATTCCAACTGGAGTTGTGAGGGAGAAAAATAAAGCCATTATTGCAATTGCACGAGACTTCAATTTTGCCTGTAAAATATCCAAACTAGAGTTTAATTTTTGTTTCTCCACGTGTGTCGAAAATATTTACATAATTACATTACTTAAAATATAAATTATATGTAACTCAATTTTAATAAGCAAGATGATCACCAAGAACAAATTCTTAATTCTATTTGTTAGTTAATGTGTCGACGCCTAAAGTTTTGTCGTGGCTAATAATGTATACAACTCTATATTGTTCACCATTGACCTGAGGCATCTAGCTTCTTCTTCTTTTGTGTGTGTGTGTGTGTGAGACATTGATGGCTAAACCCTCTTGGCACTTCACACTTAAGAGTTCATTAAAAGCTACTTGGTGAGTAGTACTTCAGTTCAGATTGTGTTAAATTTTAAGGTTAAAGGGTTAAAAACACACATAAATTACCTCAATTTTTTTGAATATCATATATGAACTATTGGAAGTGTAAGTTTCCTATTTGAGCTATCACCTAATGATCAGTGAAACACACCTAGACCAAACCAAATGTTTTGTCTATAAACGCTTCTAAGTTGCGTTTAGCCATAAAATCTTAGTTCACCTGAAATCTTCTAGGATTTCTTTACAAATCCTAAACTCTTCCCTTCAAAGCCGGAGACGAGACCATAATTAAAAAGGTAGAGAAGAAGATGTTGGATATCACGGTGGAGAACAAATTAATTTATGCGGTGATAATTTTTAATCTTTAACCTTAACTCTTAACCTAATTTAATTAATTTAGCTTTGCCACAGTGAAATTAGTTTTCCTCGTGGAGTACCACGTGACATAATTTTCAAGTAAAAGATAGTGTAAGACACACCCTCAAAAATTAATGAAAGTGTGTTTCGCTAACCATTAGATGATAATTTGGGTAGGAAATCTCACACTCTCTGTTTAGACGCAAATTAAATCCTAAAACTTAAAAATTTCTTACAAAAAATGGTAAAAGTGTGCTATCTTATATTGTTTAGGGGAAAAGGTTGTGACTCTTTCATTGTGGTGCCAATTTGTCCATAAATTATATGAGATATATATATCTCTTTTTTGAATTTTTTAAAGATTCATGTTTGCAATAAATTTTAAAGTGACAGAAAATAAATTGCAATCACAATAAAATAAGAAGAAACATAACTTTATTGATAAAGATTGCGGGTACAATTTTGTTCCTCCCTTGATTCTACTCTCCTAAGATTTATCCATAATTCTAGGGCCGTTAGTGGCGTATATATATTTCTCGAACTAGGATGATTTAGATTTGACGTCTGTATGAATATTCCATCAATTTGTGGAATATATCGAGATTTCGATCTCTTTATGGAATTTTCAAGATGCCTTGTCAAGGAATACAGTACCCACATAAACTAGGGTTTAGGATTGAGTAGCCTCTAAGAATTCGAATTGAAATTGAACACACTTTCTAGAGTCCCAATTCGAATTGGACACTTCTTGTAGAGTCCCACAAAATTTCAATAACTACAATTTCGTTAGCTAATTTTTTTCAAAATCAAAGTATATGTGATTCTTAAAATATAATATAAGGAAAAATGTGTGCTCTCTTCTTTGCATGCATGCAATGAGAAAATTGGGGAATTTTCAGATTAGACATAAAGATAATGCATACATTAACGATTGAGGATCAAAAAGAGCCACACAAAATTAAATAAAGTTTTTGTTGAAACCTCCATCATGCGAGATGGAGAATATATTACTATGAAAACGAATTGTACTAATCTAGCAAAACCTAATTAAGTATTTTTATTACCTCAAATAGTGAAGGCATCAACCCTAACCATCCACTAGTTATTATTTTATTAGTAAAGTAAAAAAAAGGAGTATAGTGTAATTACCTGAGCAATGCATCCACCAAGTCCCATGCCTTCAAAAAACTGATGAAAAGTCAAAGCAGCAACCAGTGGCTTTATAGTTTTGGGACTTTCAGAAGCACCCAAAGCTATTCCTATTATCACTGAGTGCACTATTATCCCCAATTCCAAAACCTGTTCTCCACGTACACCACAAATGTTATTCAATACATATTTATTAGTCCGTCAGTATATATAACTTAAATCATTACCTGAGAAATAACACGATAACGAAGAAGCTCCGAATTAGAATCAGCCATCATTGTTGTTGAACCATGTGCATGGGCATGAGAGTGAGTATGAATAACTCCTTCTTCATCTCCACCCTCAGTTGCCACCACTCCATTTTTCAAATTCTTCTTATTGTAATAAGACGTTGCATAAGTATCCACCATCAGAGTCGCCATTGCAGAAACCATAGCAACAAATCCACAAAAAGGGAAATTTCCCCATGGATTCTCTTTCAAACACGGAGATGTCAAACTTTCAAATGCATCAGGAAGTACATGTATAAACCCCGTTGATAGAATAACACCAGCCGCAAAAGCTTTAATTATAAAGAAGAAATTCCTCTCTGGGCTTAAGGCGGGAATCCCCTTGCCCAGAACAGGAATACACACCCCAATTGCACTCGCTACCAAAATGGAAGCGAGTGCTGCCATTTTGTACTTGAGTGCCTCACTTTTGTTTCTTTCTTCATCCTCCGAATCACAAGTACATTCGCCTAATACTATTGCGGGAAGAAGCAATAGAATGTACCAAAATATAATTTTTTCGATCTTCGCCATGACCAATGAAAATTTTGAAGTGCTTTTTTAAATGTCAAACTCGCAATATCAATCACTCTAGTCACATGAAGTGTCTAAATAAAAGAGAGAGAAAACTTTTTTTTTTTTTTTAAATGTCACAACTTTGACAAAAGAATGTCAAACATGGAAAAACATATATTAAAAGGTACATTCATACTTAATTATCGCATAAATATTCGGGAACACGTATTTAATGATAAGAAAAAATGAAGACATAATTAAGTCATTAAAAATAAACAAAGGAGAAAGAAATAAGGAAATTAGAGCTAGAAAGAGTCCGACAACATTACTAGTCGAAAAAATGTCGACATATGTTGCTCTTATTTATTAGCTGACCTTTATTTATTTTTTCGTTGATTTCCATATGATGTTATCCTATATTATTTACTAATTAAATTGATTTGATTTATTCCTCAAGAGTTATATTAACAAAATAATTCTATACGTGCTAAGACGTTCTTGTCATTCTCCTTTAATATGTCACTAAAAATAAATAAAAAGAAAGTTTTCAATGTTAGCACCTCAGGTGCCTAGTGGTTAGTTTTACAAATAATTAATTGAGATTATAATTAAAGTTATGTACAATTTTATACTCCCTCCGTTCCTATTTACTTGTTAAATATGTTCTAATTTGATTTTCCTTTTTACTTGTCATATTTGATAAATCAAGGAAGGACAAATAGCTTTAAAAAAATACATACATTAGATTAAATTAACCACATATACAACTAATATTTTCACATATATACACATACATTCAATCTTTACTTTGAAAATTTACATATACAGTTAAAATCATATATTATATTCGCACGATTTTGAGTTAGGAATAGATATTATACATGCGCGAATACATTGTATTGTGCTATATTTTGAAAGGAAAATGCAACTTCGTTTTGAATACAAAAAATGGAGCTATAGATTGCAAAAAGAGAAAATTGTATATAGTAGCAAACTATTAATTCAAATTAAATGTTATAAATATAGTTTGATTTAATTGTACCTCATAGCAAACTATTGCTATTTCACCTCTCTCCTGGTGAATCTCGCTCGCCACTCTCGTTCTCTCCCTCGCCTCTCTCGTTTTTTATACAAACGCAAGTGTATAAAGTGCGTTTGTGTTTGTATAAAGCGAGAGAAAATTGTTTATGCATATATTTTCGTTCCCCTCTCTCCCCTCTCCCAGATCTCGCTCTCTCACCCACCTCTCTCACTTTATACAAAAAACGCAAATTGTATAAAATGCGTTTGTGTTTGTATAAAGCGAGAGAAAATTGTATATATACATATATATTCGTTTTCCTCTCTCCCCTCTCCCAGATCTTGCTCGCCACTCTCCCAGATCTCGCTCTCTCACTCGCCTCTCTCACTTTATACAAAAACTCAAATGTATAAAATGCGTGAAAATTGTATATATACATATATTTTCGTGTCTCTCTCTCCCCTCTCCCAGATCTCGCTTGCCACTCTCCCAGATCTCGCTCGCTCACTCGCCTCTCTCACTTTATACAATTGATCTTTTTGTATATGTATACCAAAGCAGATTATACAACTGCTTTCTTTTGTATATGTATAGCAAAATATACATATTTATGTTTGCTATGGAGCGCAATTATACAAACTTTGCTATAACATACAAATATGAATTTTGTGTTTGCTATATGTGAAAGTTGCTGTCACAAAAATGGGCTCTAATAGTGCTGATTACAAAATTTTCTGTAATAGCCCACAATACCTTTGCGGCCCAAAGTGATTTGGGTTATTCGGCACAAATGCCCCACAAATAGGGAGGTTTCCAATTTTTCCCCTCAAAATCGATGGTTTTTAATTTGGGAAACTTACAAAAATATACTATATTAAAAAAATATTTTCCATTTACAGTAGTAACATCTTTTTTCATTTGATCACTTTTAATACATTTATAATACAGTTTTAATACATATTACAGAAAACAATTTATTATTCATATATAACATAAGTTTTATTGATGGATAATACATTTATCACACATTTTAATACTCTTATAATATAATGTGTCAATTTCTTACCAAACAAGCATAATATATTTAAGAAAAATAGTTATAATACATATATATTGCATACATAATTCACTTTTAATACATATTGCAGATTTAACATAGTATTGCTATCTAGTACTATAAATGGTAATAAATTAAAAATATCGCTAAAATCAGTAATTATTTATTAAAAGGTATCCATCTAAATAATTTTTCCTTTTAATTTTTACTCTTCAAAGTTTTAAATAAAAATATATAGTCGAAAATGTCCTCAATAATGTAAAAAATTAAAATTCATAAGGCATAAGTTGAGTAAAAGTTATGGCTCAGTCATAAGTTCAATGACTTATAAGTTATACCCCACGTAGGTTCAGTGGCAAGTTATACACCAAAAAAATTAATAATAATATCCGGGGTACAACTTATACACAAGATTAGGGGTGTTCACGGTTTGGTTTGGGTCGGTTATTGGTCAAAATCAAAACCAAACCAACTTAATCGGTTTTAAAATTATCAAAACCAAACCAAACCAAATATAATATACATTTATCGGTTTGGTTGTTTTCGGTTTTGGTTCGGTTTTTCGGTTATTAACCATACATAAAAATAAAAGAAACAATTCATTCAAAACGTGAAAAAAGTGACAACAATCCATTCAAACAAAAAAATAGTTAGAATGACGGGCATTACAGAACTTTCGATCATTGAATTTACTGAATAAAACTTCAAAATTCACTATTTTGGCATAGAAGGAAGAGACAATGACATTTTCAGTCCCACAAAGAATTTTCATAGACACTCATATACATGAAACCAATAAGAAAAATGTTCTCACCTTAGACATTTTTTCTTTCATAAGTAAATTATAAATAATTTTTGATGAAACATATATAAAATCTTTAAAATTGTTTATGAATATAATATATTATGTATGTATAATAATAAAATTTATGTATATAACTTGTTGGTTCGGTTCGGTTATTTCTTCGATTTTTTTCGAATAAAACAATAACCAAACCAAATACTATCGGTTCTTAACAATCTAAAACCAAACCAAATCAAAACCCAAATTAAATTGGTTCATTTAATTGGTTTGGTTTGGTTTTTCGGTTTGGATCGGTTTTTATCCAAACCATGAACACCCCTACACAAGACATAAGCGCAGTGGTACAAATTATACCTGAAGACAAGAAAATAAGCTCACTACACAAGTTATGCCTAGAGGCATAAGTTGAGTGACAAAAGTAATGCCTCAAGATAAAATTTATCTAAAAGTCTTGCGCGCGAATCATATATTATAAAAGTTATGTCCCAAGGAAAACATTCTCTAAAAAATTTTGTCATGCAAATTATAATTAAGGTTACTTTAACTCACAAATTTTCATTAAATGAGTACTAGGGACAAAAATTAAAGACTGAGAATTTAAACAATAAAATTTAAAGATCACCCCAAAATAGAATCAATTTTATCAAGGGTATCCAAAAATTAGGGGTGCATATGATCGGGTTGGTTCAGGTTTTTCAAATATCAAATCAAACCATTTGTATTGGATTTTTAAATCTATAAACCAAACCAATAAAACTCAGATTTTTCAACTTCGGATTTTTGCGGGTTTTTTGAAATTTTGAGTTTTTTCGACTTTTTTCCGGAAAAGTATTCATACAAACATATAATTTACTTGTACTTCAAATATTTCATTAGTCCTACCAAAATACAACTATCTAAGGTGTTTCTTAAGAAAATAACACAAAATATTATATGAGTAATGATATTAAAACATCCAATAAAAAATAATAATAATGAAATCGCGTAAAACAAATATTGCAAATTAACAAGTCAAAAATGATCATAATTTAAAAGTACTAAGTCATGCTAAAATAAGTTTAGTAAGTATTAGTTACATGACTAAATATTAAAGAAAATTAAAATTAGATTATGTATTTGAATAAACCAATGTAAAACCATAGAACAAATATTCAATATTATTGTCATTCTTAGTGTTAAATTGATTATTTTTTTCCTTTAGTATTAATTTAATTTTGATTTAAGCTTTATTATAATTACCAATATCTGTGGACTATAATCTTTATTGAACTATTTAGAATTCTAAGTTTTAAACTTGAAATAATAATATATTAAAAGATAAAAACTATGAAAAAGTATAAGAAATATTTAAAAATTATATCAAAGTAAATACTTTTATGTATAAAATAAAAATTTAAAATTATATATATAATGTCGGGTTGGTTTGGTCTTGGGTTGATTTTTTTTAGTTAAAACCAAACCAACCCAAATATAGTCAGGTTTTTTTTTCCAATACCAAATCAAGTCAAACCAACCACTAGTCGGTGGGGTTTTTTTTTATTTGCGGTTTGATTTGGTTTTTGATTCGATTTTATACACCCCTACTAAAAATGATGATGTGTAGTTGAATCAATTCGTGTTTAATTGGAGAACTACTAGACAATTGTTTACTCCTATATAACCAACATGACATAAAGCTTTGGAATTTGACCACACACATTAAATGAATTACTCTCTCTCTCTCTCTCTCTCTCTCTCTCTGTTGAAAGGTAGGTGATGTGTTTGCAATAAGGAAGTCCATTCTAATTTTTCGCTTAGTTTGTTTGGCTCATTTTAGTTGTGAACTTATTTTAGTCCATTATAGTTGCTTAAACAATTCTTACCTTAGGTGGGCAATGATTCTAGAGTTAAAGTTGCCCTAATGCAAGGGGATCTTAAGTTGACTTCTCAGGCAATGCTTTTTAACCATGTTTTGTTAGGTTTTGTTCTGATTTTCTTATCATATTTAATTTTTTCTTCCTATAAAAGAAAGTCGAAGCAGCATTATCATAATTTATTTTTACTTTTCTTGTAAAAGACTATATAATCATCTTCCATATTTGATTATTTCTTCCATGGAGATAAAATTTAAAATTCTATAAATTGAAGATCATTCTTCTCATACCAAAAATACAAGATAATTCATTTAAGAGTCTTGATTAGGGGAGAAATTATCCTCCCAGCAGTTTTTATGCTTTTTAACATTATATTAATTTTTTATATGTAGGTCGTCGTTTGGTCAAATTATATTAATAATATATTTTTGGTATACTTTTACATAATTTTGCAATCTCATAACGTCATGATTCTTTCGAACCCAACATGTTTTGCTTCTTTTATTTAATTTATTTTACAGGCCGAATCTTCATGCCTCTTCTGAATTCGATGCTTCATCATCATCAAAACAAAAATGACACACTCTATTTTATTTAAAATCATTGGATTAAAAAATCTTCTTTATTTTCTTAAATTTTGTGTCAAGTCAAAACCAACAAAATTGAAACGGAGGACAGTTTCAAGGTTGGTTTCAATCAACATGGTCCAAAATATACTAGGCACACTAGAAAGCAGAATCTTCCATATAAACAAAACAAGTCAAGTAAGTAAAGGGTGCACTATTATGTAGTTTAAATAAAGATTTACAATCGTGTGTATATATATATATATATATATAAATAAATTATAGGAACCACATATTATAAGTACTAAATAACATCCTATCCCTTCTAGTTTTCTATTTACCAAAAATCCCTTAAAAATGATGTTTGCGGATACAAAGCGTTTGTGCATGGGATACATTAGGTTTGATACATTCCACATAGCGGGATACATAGCGTTGTGCATGGAATACATTAGGTTTGATACATTCCACATAGCGGAATACATAGCGTTGTGCACGGGATACATGCGGGATACATAGCGTTGTGCACGGGATACATGCGGAATACATGGGTAAAATAAGAGATTTTTGAAATTTTTGAAATAAGTAGGGATAAATGGATGTTAAGGTAAGTAAAAGAGTGTAGTTAAGTAATTTGTCCTATATATATATATTGTATACTACTCTATATTGGTAACAATTAAGCCCATTTGGCTAACATTGACATGAGTCCAGCACCAAGAAGAAGTGAAATATTAGCCCCTAATTGAAGCTTTCCATTGCCTTGCATTCTTGGATGCATAAAATCGGCAGCTAAAAAATCAACTAGTGCCATATAAATCAAAATGCCAGCTGAAGCCGAATTAAATACTCCTTCCACAATAAGAGCCGTTGGACTGTTTTCATCATAACCATTTGTTATTCCTAGTCCGATTCCTATTCCAATTGGAGTTGTGAGCGAGAAAAATAAAGCCATTATTGCAATTGTGCGAGTCTTCAATTTCGCCTGCAAAAAGATTCAAACTAGAGTTTAAGTGCCTAAATGAATTTATAAGAAAACGAATTTTTAAATCTCTTATGTGACCTACATAAGATCATAAAACTAAGAAAAATTATAAGTAATCTACAAAATCAATTGTCGATCGAATTCGAGACATTTAATTAGTTAATGTACCAAACGCTAATGTACCGACACCTAAACGTTTGCAGTAATAACGTATCCATTATATTCTTCATTGACTTGATATAGCATGCTTTTTCTGACTTTGAATGGCAAATTTTTTTGTAACCATGCATTTGGACAAAAACCCACAACACTTCACGTTCAAGACTTTGTCAAAATCTAGACAAAAAACAATTAGTGAGTACGTAGCCTTCTATTCAGATAAATGCAATGGACCCAAAACAATCCTCATCACACCCCACATTTATATCCTTCGATTTTAGATGTGTATAAATAAACAATTAAATTTGTGTAAAATTAAATAAATAGACACACGTCCGTGACAATTACCTGAGCAATGCATCCACCTAGTCCCAAGCCTTCGAAAAATTGATGAAAAGTCAAAGCAGCAACAAGAGGCTTTATAGTTTTGGGACTTTCAGAAGCACCCAAAGCTATTCCAATAATCACAGAGTGCACTATTATCCCAAGTTCCAAAACCTACAATCCCCACCATAAATGTTATTATTCACACACCAAAGAAATAAGGATAATGCTAAATGGCCTGAAAATTTGACCAAAATTTGGTTAGAAATTTAAAAAGTCTATAATATCTTTTTTATTTTAAAATAAATTGATATTTTTTTCTTTTTTAATTATAATGTATTAAAGTTAAAAGGATAAAAATGTTCAAAAAGGTAAAATAACATAATGTGAAATATGTTATTTTATCATTCTGGCCAAATTCTGACCAAAAGGATTTTTCCAAAAAATAATAATACTCTCCATTTATTTTTATTTATTATTTTTAACGTATCAAAAAAATAATTATTTTCTTATTTTATTAATAATAAAAACAAAGATATAATTCTTTAGTACGTTTTTTTCGTTAGGTAAAACTTTAATATAAAATATCTCAGAACTTTAAATAAATATAAAAAATGTAATTCTTTAATAGTTTTTTTATTAGATAAAACTTCATTTATTTAAATAAGCATAAAATTAAAAGAACATCATTCATTATTATTTATTAAAAAGAAAAAAGATATACTTTCCTTTTACTTTCCTTAATATTGAATCTCTCACATATTAAGTGCAGAATCAATTCTCATATTACCCCTCTCCCTTTCCCTCCATTCCACGATCTTTATGCTGTTCTCAGAGTATTAGAAGTTTGAAGGTTCTAATTTATTTTTATTTTTTAATTATTGAGTTGTCAATCAGTTTTGTTAGACGTTTACTAGTTAATATACATATATATTTACTTAATTTTTTAGTACAAATACAAGATCTACAGAAAAGCTATTGGTTCGTCTGAACCCACGAACCTCGACCTAGCTCGTGTAATAAAATTAAACTCTTTTTAAACTTAGCAAACTATTTGCACTTTAAATAATCATAAAGAGTATTTACACAATTAATTCATAATTTAATAGATAATAACTCCATATTCCATATAAGTTGTTCATTTTAGTCAACTAGTTGTACCAAATTACTTATCAATTTACCTGAGAGATAACACGGTAACGAAGGAGCTCGGACTCCGAATCAGCCATCATTGCTCCTGAACCATGAACATGACCATGAACAACTCCTTGTTCATCTCCAGCCTCAGTCGCCACCACTCCATTTTTCAAATTTTTCTTACTATAATACGAAGTTGCATAAGTATCCACCATCAGAGTCGCCAGTGCTGAAACCATTGCAATAAATCCACTAAAAGGGAAATCTCCCCACGGATGTTCTGCCAAACACGGCGATGTCAAGCTTTCAAATGCATCAGGAAGCACATGTATAAACCCCGTTGATAGGATCACACCAGCCGCAAAAGCTTTAATTATAAAGAAGAAATTCCTCTCTGGGCTTAAGGCGGGAATCGCCTTGCCCAGAACAGGAATACACACCCCAAGTGAACTCGCTACCAAAATGGAAGCGAGTGCTGCCATTTTGTACTTGAGTGCTTCTTTTTTGTTTCTGTCTTCATCCTCCGGATCACAACTACACTCGCCTAATACTATGGCGGGAAGAAGCAATAGAATGTACCAGAATATCATTTTTTCAAACTTTACCATGACTAATATTATTAAATATAGAAAACTAAGTCAAAAAGGGGCTTTTTATGTGATCCCAATGATAGTTTTGGGTGTTTTATGGAATACTATTGCTACACATGAAGTATCAAAAAAAAAGAAGAGAAAAATGATGAGAGAAAACCAAGAAAGATTTGCACAATTTGCTAATATATATATAGAAAATACTAAGTCATACAACTTGAAAAAGAAATAAAATATTACTTCCGATATTGTCCAAAAGTATGACTATTTGGACTTCTTTTTTTCTTTTTAAATTAAATAATTGGAATCATTAGCTATAGATGTTGACTTGAACATACACAAATGATATTTTAATTTTTAAAAAATAAAACTATACCCAAATTAACATCTAAAATTTATAAGTATTTTAGGATAGAAAAGTATTGATAAATACAGAAGTCATTCACATAAATTAGGATAGAAAAAATATGGGAGTCATTTACATAAATTAGAATAAATAGAGACCTAAAAATAAGAGTCATTTACATAGATTAAGATAGAAAAAGTAGCAAAGATTAGGTTGATATGTAGTTATTGTGAATTTGTAGCAACCGGACATTTAAAAAGGGGGAAGAAATGAAGACATAATGTGTTCACAATGGTGCGTGGATATGGAGTGATAGAGAAAAAAAGAAGAGAAATAGAGCAAAAGAGTCAAAAATATGTCGACATATAACGAAGAGGAGACCACAAGTCAGTCTACATGTTGCTGTTGTGGCAAGTTTTTATTAGTTTTCATATCCTAAAGTATATCCCTCTTTATATTTATTATTATATGTAAGAAGTTCAAATATATCATTGAATCTTGAGAAAAAATTTATTTATGTCATTTATTTAAAATTTAGCTCATCTATGTTATTTTCGTTAGGTAAACTCACTAAACGATACACCATGATTAGAGCTGTCAAAATGGGCTTATCCAACCCAACCCAACCCTAACGGGCTAGAGAGTTAAATGGATTGGGACAGGCTGACCCTTTTAATTAAAGGGCCTATAAAATAGCAGCCCAACCCAGCCCTAAGCGGGCCACGGGTTGGGACGGGTTGGCCTTCAACCAAAACACGAACAACATTTTCCTTTTAGAAAGGATACGAACGTTGATGTCCGATGAACACGACATCAATACATACATAAATTCATTCATGAATTACACATACTTCAGTGAATATTTACAAAACAAATACATAATAGCCAGGATACAACATTCATAAGATTCATCTGAGCAAAAAAAACATTACATGATCACTATTTTCATAAACAAGACAATAAAGGAGAAGTGAAAAATTAGGCATAAAAACAAATGTGAAAAAGGTCAAAGATTTGTAGTTATGATGGAGTAATGGACTTGAGCTAATAAGAAAATTTAGTGGACTAATGACCCTAAAGTGTAAAAGATATGTAAAAAATATAGTCTTGATTTTATATTGATACTTTAAAAATATTTATTGACAAAATCTTAACAAGTATAACACTACTTAAAATATTTATAATAAATATTTTTAAAATTCACAGCCTGCGGGCTAGCCTCTGAGGCTTGCGGGTTGGCCTTACGAAGCCAGCGGGCCAAATAAGACTGGGCTAAAAGGCCTCGTTTTTAAATGGGCTGAAAAAATTGAGCCCAACCCCATTTAATTCAAGGGTTGAGTTGGACCGACCTAGCGGGCCAAGCCCATTTTGACAGCTCTAACCATGATAAACGATTGAACAACTACAGTTGCAGAGTACTTCAGTTCACATAGATTTATAGATGGTACACTCACATTAAAAGAAGGAAAAAAAAGTTTTTTTTTCGTGGTTTGACTTTTTCTTTGGTGGATTTTTTTTCTTTATACTCCTTCCGTTCATTTTTAATCGTCATAATTTTTGTTTTTAGAGTCAAACTATGAGAACTTTGACTAATATTTTACGATGTATTTTTTCATTATATTAATATGCAAAAAATTGTAATTAATAGTACTTTTCGTATAGTTTTTGAATATCTAATTTTTTTTGTTTAAAATATCGAATTAATGTAATCTAATTTAACTTTGAAAATTAATCAAATTGATTTTCAAAAAATACAGCATGACAATTAAAAGTGGACAAACATAGTAGCTTCCATTGCTTTTTAGGTTTCTTTTTTAGAGACTTCGTTTTCACTTGTTTGTTGAGAAAATAACATTAAAAGTCAAACAATTTTTGTGTGGTTTTCCTATTTGTTTTCTGAAACCAAAGGTCGTCCATTTCATTTCAAATAAAAAATCATGATCCCTCAAAACCATTTTATTTGACCAAAATCCAAATGTCTTGACAAATTGTGCCTAATGTAATGCTCATTCCGTCCACTTTTAATTAATTGTCATGATTTTTTTTTTAGAGTCAAATGATAAGAACTTTGACTAACATTTTAAGATGTATTCTTTGATTATTGATATGCAAAAAATTGCAATTTATAGTACTTTTCGTATAGTTTTTGAATATCTAAATTTTTTGTTTAAAATATCAAATTAATGTAATCTAATTTAATTTTAAAAAAATTGTCAAATTGACTTTCGAAAACTACAACAATTAAAGCTGAATTGAAGAGCAATAGCATAAAAACGTTTCCATTATTAGTCCAACTTGGTTAACTTTTTCAATGAAATTACATAAAGAAATAAAAAGATACCGAATTTCTAAAAAACATACAAACAAATTCAGTAAGAGGTGGATCCAGCATGTTATGTGCGGGATCACATAAATGTAATTCTTATGTTTTTTGCTCAAATTTTATATACATTCACTAAATATTTATATATATTTAATTATGAATTCAATTATTATCTTATATAAATTTATAATCGTTATAAAAATTCATAAATTTTAAATCTTGTATCTGTCTCTAAAATTGAGACAGCCAATATCAACGAGTTCTGATTTCATTTCAATTCTTCTGATATAAGATAAAGTACATTTAATTTTCAATTAATTAAAATGTGCAATTTTTTATCCCTTCATTTGTGTATATACAAATATTTAATGAATTATTAACCATTAAATTATTTAATTACACCTCCGTTATGCTGAGTTTGTACTAAAATTCTATATTTGCATATAATTCTAAAAATGGTATAAACACAACACATGTCATATATAAAGGGTCCAAAATAAATATTTTAATAAGAAAGATTAAGTAGCCTATTTGGTCAAAGCTTCGAGAGGCCAAAAGTTTTTTTTTTTTAAAATGCTTATTTTTAAAAAAGGAAAAGGATTAAAAATGTCCTCAGCATATTAGAAATACTTTAAAAATGTCATTCTTCAACCTATTCATTCAAATTTATCATTTTTTTCAACTATTGGGTCTAAAATGCGCTTAACCAATTACAAAATAGAAGAATCTTGAAAAAGATTTGAAAGAATCTTGCTTGGAGATCATATGTTTTAATTTAATTTTCCTTAGGGTTTTATCTTGGGTTTTGAGAGAAAAGCAAATGAGAAATTAAGAGATGAAATTTGATTGATTTTCCTGTAGGATCGAGTTTACTAGTAAAAATCGTGAAATTCAAATGGGTGTAGATTTTATACTTTATCCATGCAAATTAACAAATCATTCGTCACTTGACAAAAAAAGAAATTATTACTGTGGTTAAACTTATGTGGTCATTTCGTAGCATGATAAGAAATAAATTATTTATGTATTAATTTTTGTATAGCTTATACGACGTTTCGTTGATAATTCAGAAATTCACATAACTAGCTAATATATGTATAAGTTATGAGTGAATCTATGTATTATTTTATATAGGATATAGAAGGTTGAATAACTAATATACATGCTTAACTAATTAATAAGTGTATAACTAAAACCTTCACAACATAGTACATAAATTCACTCATTACTAAATTTTTACTTTATTAATACATACGTAATTCTAACCAGCTACCAAACGACTCCATGGAGTTGAGAATTGTCAACTCCACAATATGGCAAGAAGACTTGAGTTTCATAGACTTCCAAAAGATTCTTCCATCAGAACAGCGAGTGTACTTTGTGGACCAAAACGCGTTCCCAAGTTGTGTCAATCAATTATGAGATTTTTATGTCTCAACATTGATTTAATTATTATGAAAATGGGTCATGTTTCGTACCCGTTATGGCATTCATCCCAAATTCCCAATCTCATCATAGATAACTTAAATTATTTTTTCTTATGAATAAATTATTGACAAATACAGGATTTAATAGCTCAAGCAAAAGTAAGTCTTAATTAAAAGAATTTCATGAAAATCAAAATAACATAGAGGTGATTATGAAAGTGAGTTTTATACTGTCCTATTTAGTGTTCAAAAACAAGTAATCAAAGTTAATTCTTCTCAAGATTCGACCTAGCAATTAATAATAACAACGGTTGATTTCAACACAATTTTCGACTACAGTCCATATAAAATAAGAATCAGACTACCCTTTCAGCACCTAAACACATATATAACTTCATGTATCTCAACAAACTACAATAACAAATAATGAATGCAATGCAATGCATGTATTGTGTATACATTCATTTGGACTCACAAGGTTTCTATACTGGACAGGCGTGACATTTCAATCTACATAAAAACAATCATAGATTCAAGATACATACTCCCTCTCCTTCTGTCCCTAATTATTTGTCCAATTTTTCTTTTTTACTTGTCCATTTTGACAAATCAAGAAATGACAATTTCTTTTTATCTATTATGCCCTTAATTAATTACTTTGAAAAAGGTAGAACTTCTTCAAAATTTTAAATTCTTAATTCATCCACTTTATAATTAATAGGGGTAGTTAGAATGGTAACTCACTATGTCAATTTTTATTTTTTTTAATAGGTATGTCAATTCAAGAATGGATAAGTAATTAAAGGACAGAGGGAGTATAACTCATAGAAGTCAATCAATTCGTTGCTTCTTCATAAATACAATGGAGACGTACAATACCTATCCCAATATACACATTTCAAGTCAATACCAACTCATAAAAGTCAATCAATTCATTTATTATTTTATCCTCACTTTCAACCTTCTCATGTTCATACACAAACATCATATCAACTTAACGTACAACTAAAACAAGATTAATCATC